AGTGGCAATGGAAAAGTTTTTAGCCAGTGGGTGTCTGGCTGCATTGTAAAGACAATGTACAGAAACATTGACAACACGTTTGTTAGGTAAACAAACGATAACACTTACAATTTATATACTCTTCACTATGATATCACATCTGCCCTTTTCGTTTGCCTACTTGTTTTCCCTAAACTCCTACTTAAAATGTCAGAAAAGGTCGCAAGACCATGAATTATAATCAAAGGCTTCATACTGTATCATTTCTAGACCTTTTAGCGTGGTTTGTACTCTTATCGACAAAGATATTCGTCATCAAAATGGTCAAAATGTTGTGAACTCACAAGGCGAATGATTTTCACCGCAATATCGACGCCATTCCGTGCGTGATACGTTGCGTTTCAGGTTGGGGGTTGGTTAAACAAAGCTCGAGGCTTTATTCATGAAAGAAACGTTGCATGTTTACTAGCAGGTGCTGAAAATTCATTGCTAATTACCCCTCTCTTTTACTCCCCTAGAAAGAGGAAACACCAAGATGAAAAGTCAGAGAAAAAATGATGATACTTTGCTTACGCCTAGATCTCAGTATTATGAAACGTTTAGGTTTCAAGTCAACCCCTCTAGAGTTTCCATTTTTTGAGGCGAGGTTTTTAAAGTTCTATAAGAGAAAAAAATTCCGCATTTCAGACCTGTGCAATTGAGTTTTTGGCCAAAACAATCATGGTTACTTTCTGCTATCCTTAATCTTTTTACCATGGATTTTGTCAGCTTTTTTGTCTTACATTTAAAATTAAATTGGAAATATCTTTGAATATTTTATGGCAAGGTTTTCATGCTGTTCAGAATCAGACAGTTGGGCCAAATGATGGGAGCCGTTTGAATTCCCATTTTACTCCAAAAGGTATAGAATTCGATAAAACGAGTCACACGTTCAAGATGGAAATTAAGTGACTTGTGAATATGTTCCGTATATTTTGCTCTCTCCTCATCTCTAAGTCTAACACGAAGCTGCTTTCCTATAATTCTAATGTCTAAATGATTCAAATATATTTATAACATAGCGCGCGCGCTAGTCCTATCTAATTCCTATTGCGTCAACATGAACAAAATCTTTATGTACGCACGGCCGTGCTCAATAAAATGACGTGTGTAGTTTCAAAATAGGTGCAAAATTTCCGTCGTGTGAGTTCCTTAAGTTAAAGTTTTGGAAAGCAATAATAGTAAATCGAAGACCAACTAAACTTCTCTTTGGCTTTCGACCTTTACGCAAGTAATCAAGCCGACAAGCACTACGAAAACGAAACACAACAGACCCGTTTCCCGAATTTATCGGAACAGGAGCTTGAAAAAATCTTGGCTGAAAGACATTCAGCAAGAACTAAGAAGACTACAAATTGGTCTGTGGCGGCGTTTAAAGGTAAAAGTCTCTGTTGATGACTTTTATTTTGGTTACATTTGTTAATTCTACCCAAAACCATTTAATTATAAAATCAACAAAACAATCGGAGACGTCAACATTTTCGGGCAACTTTCATTTCAAAAAACATTACAAAAACGTCATTCAGCGCCCAAATTGTTTTCGTATGTTATAAAAGAATTGTTTCATGCTTTTAGCTGTGCGTCTATCGAGTTATGGATGCACGCGGGGAGTTTGGAGAGCATGAGAGAAGCGTAAGAGTTACTCGAGGCGCAGCCGAGAGCAACTCTAGCTTCTTGAGTGCTCTCCAAACTTCCCAAGTGCATCCATAACTCGATA